CTGTGTTGTGAATTAGATCTCTACAAATTTATTTAGACTGTACAGCACCAAAACAGGCCATTTGGCCAAACTCGTCCGTTCTGATCTTTATACTCCACAGGAGCCACAGGCACTTCCCTATTCTCCTTCCCTCATGTATAATTTATCCCCTGAATTATAGGTTGGCTGAATGCAATAATTATGCATAATAATGCCAAGTATAACAATCTGGAACGAAATAAATGCTGATTCCAAAGGAATCGCCTGCCCTTCAGCAGTAGATCAATACTAAGGTTGTTCTGCTGGTCAAGCGGTTTAACATCAGCAATGCAGGGTTGAATTTCAACCTGATGTAGTGTTCAGACATGAACTTATCTCAGGGCCCACAATTTCTCTATATCATATGCATGCAGATGGGGCACACAGCGAGTTCCGTGTCTTAACTTTGGCATCAGGAGCTGGTGCCAAGTAGAAGCCAGGCACTTCCCTCAGGGAACACAAAATGAAAATCCCAAAGCCTGCGATCATGGATTGCTGTCCTGCAATTACTGGCACCTATCCACAGTGCAACATTCACAGATGCTGCCATCAGATCTCCAATCTGTCAACTTGGCCAGGAAGGTGCCTGCTTTGGAGAGACTCTGAATGGCAATGGAGAAAACACATAAATAAAACATCATCTCTAAATAAAAATAATAATAAATAACATGCATTATTTCTTTCACCATTTTAACCCAGTTATTGATGTTTTTACAAGCCAGACTAAGATTTGGTTGACAAGTAGACATCAAAGCTTGTTGACAGATTTTGAATTTGGAGGTAGTGTGAGCATTCTATAATCTCCTTTAATACTACAGCGTTTATACAGATGTGCTCTATAATGCTCATTGAAATATCTCTGCCAGAATTTCATTCATGAGCATTGTTAGGTGGTGCCTGCAGCAGCTGATAAGTTCACATTCAGGTTAATGTTATTAATTTACAAAGTCATTTCTTATTGTTATTTATTCTACTGTAATGATAATTGAGTACATATTTTGTTTACAGAATAAACTTGCCAAAAACATGCCAATTTATTATTTATTCTTACTATGATCAACAAAGTCCCAGATAAATTTGGTCATTCACTTCATAGCTCTTTGTAAGACATAACTGCATGTTAACTGGCTGCAGTTTGTCTACAAATGCAGTCTCTGCAGTTCATAATAATTCCTGCACTATGAGATATCTCAACGACATGGTGGAGTGCTATATTAAATGCAAGGATGATTATTTTGTTGTATATAACACATGCACTCACACATACACACACAACCACATGCATTCTGCTTTAGAATGTGAATATATTTTGCCAGAATTAAGCTTTTAGTCTTCATAACAGTGTTTTTTGTCCAAGTTGAGAACAGATGAGAGAAAATGGGATGACAATCTGTTCCTACTTAAAATATAATGTGACCACTTAATATTGGGGCATGCATGGGTTAGAATGCATTGCTTTTTACCTCTGGGACCAGTGTTTATGTCTCATCTAGAATGGTAGAACCAAAGTATTCTTTCTCTCAGATGCCTAGAGGGAGTCTAAGTGAAATTAGTTCAGGCAGATTCAATCCCACTGGGTGCAAGTCTATACTGCAAACTGCCCACAATTTGGCACTTAATTGATAATAAATTAGCAATCTTGTTCAGAGAGATTACAGAGATGGCTGGTGTGCATAATAGAACTGTTATACTTGTGCAGCAGCCAGTGTGCTGATCTTGTGGTTGAATTGAGCTGGAGTAAAACGATCTTTGTTTCAAAGTATGAAAATGTTCTAGTCTCCAGGTCAAATATCCCAAACCTTATCATGAGCACAAAAGTTAACCTCTACCCCCAAAATGTTTAAAAATATAAGGGTGAAAAATGTGGTTTGTGAACCAATCTGGGAATCTCCATTCTTTTTTAACTCGTGTAAAGTTGGCATTCAACAAACCGGCACTAAAATGCAGGGATCAGTGTGATGGCAGGAACACAGACATTGCCAGCAAAAGTAACTAGCTTTTGAATGAAATCAATTAAATAAAGTTGAGGCGTGTTGGAGGGTGGGGGGAAGTTCCCATAACAGGCATCGACTGGGCATCTCCATGAGTGGATTGTCACATGTTTGTTAACCATTATATCGCAAATGGCTCTTTTCACCCAATAAAATATTTGCAGATAACTGAAGTGTAGTCAAATAAAACATGGTATTGAGTGCCATTGGAATTTTGTGAAAGAATGACCTATTTGTGAACATCGGTCTTGTGTTGTGCGCCACTGTAATGTGATTGTCGTTGATAAAACATGACAAATAACTTTAATTCCTGTGTTAACTGCATTGTTAACACAGGCACTGACAATATCACCATACAAGGATGCACACTTCACCTTACTAAGCCAATCCGGAACCTTTGTGTCTTGTTTGACCCTCAATTAATCTTTCTACATCAATGCCATGTCCCGCTCTGCCTTCCGCCACCTCCGCAACATTGCCCGGCTATGCTACTGTCTCACACCGCAGGCCGCCGAGACCCTCATGCATGCATTCATAACATCCAGGCACAACTACACAAAGTCCCTGCTTGTCAGCCTCCCCAACTCCTCACTCCACATGCTCCAGATCATCCAGAACTCTGCAGCTCTTGTCCACACCAGGCTTCATGACCCTATCACCCCCATACTCGCTTGACTCTACTGGCTTCCCATCATACGGAGGATACATTTCAAGATCCTGGTCCTCACCTTCAAAGCCCTCCATGGCCTTGCTTCCCCCTACCTCTGCGACCTCCTAAGCCCCTACCAACCTACACTCTCCCTCTGCTCAGCAGGTTCCAGCCTGCTTCACGTCCCCCACCTCGCCCGCCCCACCATTGGCGGGCGGGCCTTCTGCCGATCTGCTCCCACCCTCTGGAAATCCATCCGGCCGACCCCCCACTTTGTTCCCTCCCTTGCCTCTTTCAAGACTCATCTCAAGACCCTCCTCTTTGACCATGTCTTCGGTCACCCTCCTTCCCTCCAGCTCTCCACCCTCCCCTAACCCGACCTACGGCTCAGGTCCGAAACATTGATTGTCCAATGCCTTGGGACATCCTCCCGACATAATGGGCACTCAAATTTTATTTTGTTGCTGTTGTTCAGAGTTCCATAAGAATAACAAACATGCACCATACTTGCAGTTACCAAGTCTAATAACATTTTGTTGAGAAACACTTACAGATATAAACAAACACATTGGGATTTCTATATTTTTGCCCACAAAATATACAGTCAATTCACTTTATAGTATATTTTGTGAAGTGCTTTGAGATGTTTCAAAGACGTGATAAGGTGCTTTATCAAATGCAAGAATTATTATTATTACCATCTGATCTCCTTTTGCAATTCAAAACATTTTAAAATGCACCAAATGGAAACATGCAAGTGGTCTAGGACTGTTCCATTGAAGGGTCTTTGTTAGTTTTGATGAGTTTTCTGCTAGGAGCCACTTAGCTAAAACTCCACTCAAACATTGTCATCCTTGTCACTGAATATATTTTTTATTATAGCAGACACCTTATCCCTTGCAGCATGAAGACTCTTGCACTGGACTTGATTGACAATTCAATGGTGCTACATCAGCAACTGCATCACTGTAGTTTTCTCCCTCTAAATTATTCACGAACCACTCATCACAAACTGTCTTTCAAAACAATATTTCTTTGAATTAACTGTTTGACATAGCATCATATTAAAACATTTCAGAGAATTATTGACCCAAAAAGGCAATGAAATCATATTTCTTCTTATTTGACTTTTTCCCCCTATCTTTCTTTAATTTGGACCTAATTCTTATGTCTGATATAGTGCTTTTCATGTTGGTAAGACATTTCAAAGAGCTTCACAGAATACATCGTAAAGAATAGTGTAAGAGTATTGTTTCAGGTGAACACGGCAGCCAATGTGCACACAGCAATTTTACACAAATAGCCATGAGGTGAATGACCAATTTTATTTGTGGGATTGTTGGCCAGGACACTGGGAGAAACAATTCCTTTCCGAGTAGTAATTTCATATCATTAACTTAACTGACCACGTTTGCATCTTTAAATTTCCTGTTTGTGGGCTTGCTTCACCACTATATAAATACTTGGGGATGCCTTCCTGACCTGAAAGACACTATATAAATGTAAATTTGAATCATATCTTCAATGGATCTTCTTTACAGATGGAATAAATAACTGACTGCGATATCCATTGGAACCATAGCTTACAGGACATAGTCACACATTTGCAAATACTAAATGTATTAATAAGTGGGATGGCACGAGCAAAAATTGATTATCCGATGATCTGAACATTGGGTTAGTTCTCTATTACAGTCTTTAAATTGCATTTCACGTGTTTTCTTTGAAAACCACACTTATTATTGCAGAGAACCATCTTTTCCAATTTTCTTTTTAGACTTCCAGAGCATCGTGGATTTTTTGTTTGGAAATGCAAAGTCTACAGTTCTTCAAATAGTTCTGAGAGAAGTCAACAAAGAAACGGTTATTTGTAGTGTTTCAATTTGATTTTATAGTCCAAATTGTTAAATATCTAATTTTTAAAGGTTATCATTGCAACTAAAGGGATGATCAAGGAAATAGCAGTGTAAGAAGCATGTGAAAGGGAAGAATTCCCAGCTCATAAAGTGAATCTACTGCAGGGAATCCTTTTAGAGCAGAGTTCTCATGTGTCAGTATAACATACATAAGGTTTTTTGGAAGAGATTCAGTTTACGTTCTCATGAACTTTTTACAGCAAGTTAACATTACTACTTTTCTGTTGTGAGCTTTTTAACCATTATATTTGCTGCCTACAAGATAAATAGTGGCTAAATTTTACATTTTACAGTAAATCCAGTGAAGTGCTTTGAGATGTCCTACTGATGTGAAAAATGTATATTAAATGCAAGGATTACTCTTATTATGTTGTTGTTTTACCATTATTCTGTAAATAATAGTTTGCTTTCTCTCTGTTTTCCTAGTTGCATTCTGACTTGGATAATGGTGATGGTGCTGTAAAGTACACCCTCTTGGGTCAAGGAGCTGGCACCATTTTCACCATTGATGAGATAACAGGAGATATTCATGCTATCAGGAGCCTGAACCGTGAAGAAAAGTCTTACTATGTTCTAAGTGCACAGGCTGTGGACACAGAGACAAGTAAACCTCTGGAGCCTCAATCTGAGTTCATCATCAAGGTTCAGGATATTAATGATAATGAGCCAAAGTTTCTCGATGGACCCTATACTGCCAGTGTTCCTGAAATGTCTCCAGCAGGTAAATGCAGCACATTTCAATCTCCGAATTCTACTTTTATGGTACCTCATGCCTATTTGTTGAATGTTGCTGTGTGCTAAATGGTTGTGTGCCTAAAAAAAATCACTGTATACTTACAGTAATTAGCTTTGAGACAATTTCTGCGATAAGGTGTTCTAAAAATGCTTTTTTTGGTTCTCTTAGTTTAACTTTGCTTCAGCTTTATCCAGATCAAATGGCCAAGCTAGCAAGTGTGAGGAAAACTAAATATTTAATTTCATGAAATTTAAGGCTGATGACCTGATTATTCTAGACACCATACTAGACTGCCAGAGTGAGATGAGAAAGTGCTGTCATTCCTGCTCAGCTCTTCCTTCTCGGAAAAGCCATTCAAATAACAAGTATTTTGAGGAGGACGGGGAGTGAAGAAATCAGCAGGTTGTGTCTTCCACAATGGTATATCTTCAGCTAATAAATAAATAATCAACGTAGCATTGACAGTGGCATCCTTAAAGTCCTTGTCTCAAACCGTTACATAGATTTACATAGACTGCACAGCATAGAAACAGGTCATTTAATCCATCCATTCCATATTGGTGTTTATACTCCACATGAGTCTCCACACAGTCTTTACTCCCTCCCACACTGCTCTATTCCCTTCGCCCTTGTGTGTATGTCTAGCTTGCTCTTAAATGCATGCCTTCCTTCTTAGTTTGAAAAAGACTTCAAAAAGTGCCTGTTACAGTTTAGCATCGTTTTTATTCCCAGCAGTCTCACAGCTGTTCTCTTTCGCGAGCATTTTGTCCCCACTATCTGGAATACTGTCTATGCTATGCCTTTACTATTTGAACAATAACACCATGTGCTACTAGTACTGCTTGCTTTTCCTCCATATTATCAAGTCTTTCTGAAACACAAATATTATGACACGGATCAGCAGTTTGTAATCTAAAGTAAACACTAGGTTTGCTTACATTGCTATTTGGAAATTGATACACACTCTCTAAATATTCACTGCACAGCATAATTAAACTGCAATAAAATCATCTTTTCAGGCTTCAAAAGGCTACGTTATCTATCCAGTGTCTCTCAGTGCTTTCAAGTGGTTCAGCTTCTGTATTGTTTCTTACCATTTATTAAGTGTTTATCTTTCTTCTGGCCTGTGATATTGGGTTCTAATTTGCAACATACATAACTTACAGTGCCAAATTGAGCCACCAAGATTGGTCTGACTATTGGATAAGGGTTGGAGATTTTGGAAAGCCACCAAGGTACAACAATACAATACAAAATTACATTTGTATAGCGCCTTTCATATCAGGAAGATGTCCTAAGGTGATAAACAGTCAAGGGTTTGCACCTGGGCAGGTGCAAGAGAGGTGGAGGGCAAGGGAGGTGGGGGTGGGAGGATGATCAAAGGCATGCTCAAAGAGGAAAGCCTTGAGATGGGCCTTGAAGGGGACGAGAGGGGATGAGGTGGAGGGGGTTGGGGATGGAGTTCCACAGGGAGGGGCCAGGAAACCTGAAGGTCTGCTCACCCATGGTCGGATGGACAGAACAGGGGACGTGGAACAGGCCTACCGTGCAGAGGGAGCGGGCAGGTTTGTATGGTTTTAGTAGGTCGCAGAGGTCGGGAGGAGCAAGACTGAGGAGGGCTTTATAAATCAGGATGAAGATCTTAAACTTGATCCTCTGGGAGATGGGAGGCTGGACAAGGGTGGGCTTGATTGGCTCACAGAGCTTTATGCAGAAGAAGCCACAAGCTGCAGAGTTCTGCATCTTGTGGAGGCAAGAATTGGGAAGTCCGACAAGCAGAGAATTAGGATAGTCAAACCTGAACACAATGAAAGAATGGATAAGGGTCTCAGCAGCCAGTGGGGAGAGGTAGTGGCGGAGGTGAGCAATGTTGCGGAGATGCGGCAAGGCAGAATAGATCATGTTCAGATGGGCAACAAAATGCCATAGAGTTAAGCAACATTTTGCCTTGGGCAACTCTTTCAATATCCAACCCTTTTTTGTATCTACAGTCAAACTAAGATTGAGGAGTGACGTAATAGAGCTCTTTAAAATTATGAGAGGGTTGATAGAGTCAATTGGAAAAATTATTTCCACTGGTCAGTAACTAGGAGAAGTGAATTTAAAACAGTAAACGATCAAATGGAAAGGTTAGGAGAAAGTATTTCATGTACAGATAGGCTACGGAATGCTGTGCTGACAAAAATCCATATTGGCCTTCAAGAGGGAACTAGACCAACATCTTAAACGTGTCAGCTGCAGAGTTACAGGGAAAGGGGTTTGAAATGATTGCTCTTGATGGAGCTGGCGTGGACCTAATGGGATGAATGGTCATCTTCTATGCCATGAATTTCTATGGTTCTATAGTTCTAATGCTCACCATCCTTTTTGATAATATTTGTGAGACCAAAAGTAACAAAATTCTCCTTGTCCACAGTATCAGCAGCTTCAGCCTGACTCAGCGGTAAAACTCATGAGTTTGAGTCAGATGGTTGTTAGTTCAATCCCCACGTGAGGACTTGGTATAAGCCTGACACTCCAATGCAGTGTTGAGTTGTCAGAGGTGCCGACGTGAAAAGCGCTATATCAAATGCAAGGATTATTATTATTATTATTATCCTTTGATCCCATCTGCCTATTTAGGTGGATGTTAAAGATTCATGGCACTATTCGAAAAGCAAAGGGAGTTTGTCCTGGTGTCCTGACCAACAATCCCCCGAATAAAATTGGTCACTCACTCCATGCTTGTTTGTGGGACATTGTTGTGCACAACTAGCTGCCATGTTTTGCCTATCAAATACATGGTCAATCCACTTTACAATATCCTGTGAAGCGATTTGAGACATATCAATGACATAATTAGGCACTATATCAAATGCAAGGTTTATTATTATTATTAATAAGTTACAGTACATGGTTTGCATATTGTCAAATAGGCATTGCTCCACAGATTACAATATTTACACTACTCCTCTTCGACCGTGCCTTTGGCCACCATCCTACCCTCCCTGCCCTCCACCCTCCCCGATCCTGACCCACAGTTTGGGTCCAAATGCCTGTCTGTCCAGCGCCTTGGGATATCCTCCCGATGTGAAAGGCACTATACAAATGTAATTTTATGTTGAATTGTACAATAAATAACAATAAAAAATTACATTTGTATAGCACCTTTCATGTCGGGAGCACGTCCCAAGGCTCTGGATAGTCAGGGATTTGGACCTGAGAATGTGTTTGGGATCAGAAGTGTTCGAGGGCAGGGAGGGTAAATGTAGGAGTGTGGCCAAAGGCGGTCGAAGAGGAGGTTCTTAAGACATGCCTTGAAGGAGGCAAGGGAGGGAGCGAGGCAAAGGTACTGAGGGATGGAGTTCCAATGGGTGGGAGTAGTGAGGCTGTAGGCCCGACCGGCAATAAATGATGTGGCGCTGGGCGGGGGATATGGAGCAGTCCAGAGTCTGCTGAGTGGAGAGAGCAGACAAGTTGATTGATGTTAGCAGGTCACACAGGTAGGAAGGAGCAAGGCCATGGAGGGAGTAGTTGAGAAGGCTGATAAGCAGGGAGTTGACTTAGTTAAGCCTGAATGTAATAAATGCATGGATGAGGGTTTCGGCAGCTTGAGGGAAGAGGCAATGGCAGAGTCAGGCGATGTTGCAGAAGTGGGTGAAGGTAGATTGGGGCATGGCAAGCACTTGGCTGCATCTAGAATTAAAACTAGCTTCAACATCTCAAAGATGTGATAATGTGGTATTTGTGGAGTCCTGTAGCTCAGTGGTTAGACCACTCGCTTTGCAAGCGAGAGACCTGAGTTCAATTCCAGGCAGGGCGAAACCTTGGGCAAGTTTCCTTACTCCACACGCCTAATAATAATCCCTCCAAAACTAAAAACAATAATAAATTGGTCATTTTCAATCTACGACTGTTTGTGGGACATTGCTGTGCGCAATTGGCTGCCGCGTTCGCCCACAAATATACAGTCAATTCAATTTACAGTCTACTCTGTGAAGCGCTTTGGGACGTCCTCCCGACGTGAAAAGCGCTATATCAAAATGCAAGGATTATTATTATTATTATTTCAAATACAAGGAAAATTATTCTTATTATATCAAGGTTATAGAAGCATTCAGTGCTTGCTTGATCCTCAATTGAAATTCGGTATACACCCAGTTGGATTTTGTTTTACAAAGGAGGACACTAAAACCTCTTTAACTATGCCTGCAGCCACCTCCCTCTTTCCTCTTCCTCTTCTTACTTGCTCGGTGTCCAACCCTGTCCTGCACATTTTATGTTGTGACAATATCCCACAACACTTTACAGTATTTTACTACAAAGTATAGTAACTGTGTATTTTGTAAGTGAATACAGTAGCCAATTTATATACAGCAATGTCCCACAAACAACCATGAAGTGAATAGCCAATTATATTTTGGGAGTTTGTTGGCCAGGAAACAGGGAGAAACTCCTTTCTCTTTTCGAATACTGCCTTGGGATCTTTAACGTTCACCTGAACGGGCAGAAAGGACTTTGGTTAACATCTCATACAAAGGACCGAATGCAAATATTGAACATAATGTTATATCATTTGTTTGAAGGGGACATAAATTTAACAAAATTACTAATTTGTTTGGTGCGAAATATATTTCTTCAAGCAGGAACATGTTAGATATGAACAACGACAGCTTGCACTTATAATTTATTAATCATCTGATTGTTCAGTTTAAGAAGAACACCCCTCCCCTGACCTTTGAAGTGGGCAAATCAGTATAATTCCTATCATGCACTCTCCAGGCATTTAACCCCTCAACAAAACCTACAAAAGTGTAAGGGACTTAAAAACAAATAAACTAGTACAAGGATAGGTAAATAAACTGGAGAATTATTCAAAATATATCAATTGAGAAGTTCCTAGCCACAGCTTTTGACGTCAGTTCATAGTATCATATAATTATAATAATAATAAATAATCTTCATTTGATGTACTGCCTTTAATATCATGACACAGTCTCAAACAT